GGTTATTCCAGAGTTTGGGCGCTAAATAGGAAAAGGATCTGCCGCCCGCCGTTGATTTTGATATTCTAGGTATTATCAAATGGCCAGGGTTTTGAGAATGCAGCGGACGTGGAGGACTATAATGTAACAAGCGCACGCTCAAATATTGAGGAGCTAAACCATTTAGGGCTTTATAAGTAATTAGCAAGATTTTAAAATCTATACGATGTTTAATAGGTAGCCAGTGCAGTGTTGACAGAACCGGGCTAATATGGTCATACTTCCTGGTTCTAGTAAGAACTCTAGCTGCTGCATTTTGGACCAGCTGGAGTTTGTTTATTAAGCGTGCAGAACAACCACCCAATAAAGCATTACAATAATCTAACCTTGAGGTCATGAACGCATGAATTAACGTTTCTGCATTTGACATTGTGAGCACAGGTCATAATTTAGATATAATTTAAGATGGAAAAAAGCGGGTTTGCAAATGCTAGGTTCTTTTGGCCTTTCTTTCCATAAAAGAATGCTTACAAAAAAGTATTATGATTTTTACGGAAATATTAAGCAACGATTTCTGACGAATCATATGACAATAAAATGGGTGCAGAAAATTCATATTTGCATCACAGGAATAAATAACTTTTTAAAAATATTTTCAAATTGGAAATAGTTATTTAAAGTTGTTTCAAAAACATAAAAAATATTTACTGACCCCAAACTTTTCAATATATAACTTAAAATCCTGATATTGAAGAAAATACATTAATTGTCATTTTGTCAGCTACTCGTAGCAAAGAAAGACATGGTTAAAAGTTAAATTTTTCATGCTATTTGAAATGTTTCACTCTCAGGCTGGGTGGACCGATAGGAAAGAGTTTGTTAGAAAGAGGAATAAGCTAAACCCATTCTCCAGCACCAGTAACAAGGAGAAGTGAAAAAAGAACTTCATGATGATGATGAAACAGTCAGAATGTGAGGACTAAAGGAAAATGCTCCCTCATATTTGCATCTCTCTTGTCTGGTGACATGCTAAGCATATATATATCCTAGTGACAGCTGTAGTTAGTCAAAACGTTTGCAGTGATTGCCTTCATTTGGAACGTCTGGAACTTCGCTTTACAGGTGAAGAACTTGTGCTGTTGTTGTCTGTTCTTGCTTTTGTTTAGTATTTCACATTGCAATCAACTAAGCACAATAATTTTTTTCAACCCAGGCTTTGGAAACAAAATGGTATTACGTTACTTCTTGCACGTTTGACAATACTCTAAAAGTGAAATGTCCAGTGAGTGCTACTAAAAGCACATTCAGCTTTATTAGAGACAGATGAACGTGAAACTATTGACGTTTTATTACGCTAGTAATTGTACGTAAAACGCATGAATTCACACTTAATGTCCGGTGAGTGTCGCTAAAATGTAATTCTATTTCACAAACATGATAGAGCATTACCTTTATGGTGTTTTCAGGTCATAGTGTTTTGCTAGGAACCGCATCTTTATTATTCTGCCCTGTAATCATAATTTATGCATACGCTTTTAGGGGTTTTGGAGCAAAAATTGTGGGTAGAAGCATGCACTTCCAATAATCATAATTTGCGTTTGGCTGGTTGTCATATTGTTTTCTTAGTTTACCATGTTCTGGAGATCTTAGACCCATTTCTGTTTTCTTCTCTTTTTTTAAAGTGAACAGAGTTACACTGAGAGGATGGCTGGATTTGAGAACTCTTCCATTCCAAATCTGAATCCACATCTCAACATTACATCACTTAAACACTTTCAAGTGGATATTTTCGGGATTTGTGTGTTCTCTTTCAATATCCTGTTTGGGCCTCCGACACACATCTATGTTCTGTGGCTTATTGTGACAGGAAAAGGAATAGCATCAGAGTTTCTAAACTTTAGCCTTTCTGTTTGTGAGATGATTATTTGTGTGAATTATTTCATCTCATTTTTGGCAATAAGATTTCCAGAGGTCTATCCATATATTGCATTTACAGTAGGATTTTATATCACTGGTTGTCCTCTGTTTCAGTGTCTGATCTGTGTTGAGCGTTACCTGGCAGTGGTTCATCCTGTAACCTTTCTGAAGTACAAACCTCTCAGATATAAATTATTCTGTTCTGCTGCTGTGTGGTTTACGGTTCTCAGCTCCTGTTTGTTTTGTATGTTTACTGCATTCAAACATGTGTATGTTTATGTGTGTTGTTTTCTGCTTCAGTTTTTACTCTTTCTTTCTGTAAACCTCTTCTGCTGTGTGTCTGCTCTCTGGGCTCTGAAGAAACCTGGACCAGGAGAGAGAGGGAAAGAGAGAATGGATGAAAACCACATGAAGAGAAGAGCATTTTATCTCATTCTAATAACTACTGTGACCATGGTCACCATGTTTGTGCCTGTGATTTTTAGAGCATTTTTCTTTTTTCTTTAATCACAAGACGTCACAAGACGTTCGAATATTTACATCCCTCAGCTTTTTATGTTTCAATCTGGCTGGGTTTGTGCAGCCTGTTCTGTATCTCCACCGGGTTGGAAAACTGCCATTCCTTTGTTGGAGCTGAAGCTTCTTAACTGTAAAACAGAAACCCCATCATCTGTTTGATCAGACTTGCATGATCTGTCTTTTGGTCATGTTTGATGCATTTGCATGTCAGGCAATATTCTCCTTGGCAATATTCAGTATGTAAAGTGTGATAGTTCCGTTTACAGGTTTCTCAGCAATATTTCCATTTTGTTAGCATGTGGTATAAAAATGTGTTAGAAATTATAAACTGTCTGCATTATATTAAATTACTGCTTGCGAGTGACTAGAAAATGACTTGTCAAGGTAATAATATTCTCTTATAACTCTTTTAGACATTTCTAAATATTAAAAATTGTACAAAATTTAACATTTAATAAACTTTGTTTTTTTTGGTCATTTTTCTGTTTTCACCTTCAGTAAGATTCCATGTAATTGAAGATGATGCAATTTTATTTAACATGTTTTAAAAGTAATTGTAATATTAGAATACGTTGTTTTTATTTACACAGGTTTTGTCAGTAGTACTCGTTAAGTCAAGCAAAATTGTCACGATTTTGGATTAAACAGACACGTAAAGCTATACTGAACATTAACGTGTGACTTGTCATCATTTCTAGACATAAATGATACCTCAAATCATGTGGCTTGTTGTGGACAGGTGTTCTATAAATTTAAAGTCTGGATGGGGGGAAAAAAAACATAGAAAGCATTCAAGCTGTATCTATAGGGATGAGAATATCATGGATACTTGGGCCAGCAACTACTTAAACACCCAATACACTGAAATACATTTTGTGTAGGATTTACTTTCACTTACAAATTCATATTAAATTTAACAAATAATTACAAAGGAAATGAATTCGATGTGAATTTTTGAAGTAGAAAAACGGTATCTTCTTGTAAATCACGCTCAATAATCTGAGTAATATTTAATCTTTTTCTTTACAATTTAGAAAA